TTCTTGCCAGAGGCAACCATCAGCTTATTTTTAAATTATTTTTTTATTTTAGTGTTTCAAATTTATCTTTATTGTTGAAAGTATTAAGATGTCTCCGCCCTGACCGGTTTGGCTCAGTGGATAGAGCACTGGCCTTCAGACTCAAGGGTCCAAGGTTCGATTCCGATCAAGGGCATGTACCTTGGTTGCGGGCACGTCCCCGGTAGTGGGTGTGCAGAAGGCAGCTGATCAATGTTTCTCTCTCATTGATGTTTCTAAGTCTTTATCCCTCTCCCTTCCCTTCTGTAAAAAAATCAATAAAATATATTTTAAAAAAAAAGATGTCCCCCTTTTTTCCTCCACTGACCTCCCCATTCATCCTGGCCCTGCCCCTCCCAGGCCTTCACCACACTATTGTCTGTGTCCATGGGTTATGCATATATGCATATGAGTTCTCCGATAGTCTCTCCTCATCCACCCACCTTCCCTCTGAAATTCATCAACCTCTCTTTCTCTCTCTCTCTCAAGTCAATAAATAAAAATAATAAAGAAGATACGCTGCTGTTTTAACCTCCCACCCAACAGAATATAACACGCTGCGTAAAACAATGACTGGCAGAACCATGGACAGCGCTAAACAGCCCAATAAATTGTGCGTCAAAATTCAAGCGCGCTTACCTTCAAAACGAATACATCAAAGTCGCAAAAGATACAACAAAAATATGAATTTGAGTCACCCCTAAGGCAGACTTATTGCAACCTTATACACGACAATTAAAGAACACAATTTCCCTTGTAGCTCCCTAGGAACCTTCCCGGAACTTGGCCCTGGACTAGATCCCAAAGGAAGCTTCAGTAAATTGCAGAGTCCATACCACACAAATATGTTCCTGTCTATAATACCATAAAATTAGACAGGAATAGCACCCAAACACCCAGAAAAAAAAAATCTCAAGTATCTTCAAACTAAAACACAGATCACGTGAATAATCATTGGCTTAAAGGGTAATTTATACATTAAGTTATAGATGCTAAAAACTGGATCCCCAGGAGGGGGCATGCAGGAGGCAGCCGATCAATGAATCTCTCTCATCACTGATGTTTCTCTCTCACTCACTCTCCCTTCCTCTCTGAAATCAATAAAGGCAGATTTGAAAAATAAGTAACTTCCTGCCTGGAGACAGAGTCTTCTGGCAAAAAACCGCCAGCCGTCATGCTTACGAAAAGTCCTGCCCTGGAAACCTACCGCGCGAATGACAGTTTGATCCGAGCTTGGGTTTCTATCCACTCTTCCTTCACGATCCTTCCACATCGCAGCAGCTCCTTGGAAAGCCTCTCTGCTTTCGCCAAGTTCTCTGCGGCCTCCTTAAATCTGAGCTGCGTTCAGGAAACGTGACCCTTGGTTCTGGATTCCGGGACCCTAGTTCCTGGACATCCTGGGCTCTCTACACTTCCCATCACCCTTCCCGGGTCACCTGTCAGCTTTGAGAATCCTATATAATAAAAGCCTCATATGCAAATTGTCCCCTCGACCCGGAGTTCGACCAGGGGCAGGGCCGGCCAGCCAACCACAGGAAGGGAGGCTCTGGCTGGCGGTGGTGGTGGCAGGCAGCCGGGGGAAGGGAGGTCCCAGCCAGCAGCTGCAAGGGACCCTAGCTGTGCATGGATTTCGTGCGTTGGGCCTCTAGTTAAATATAAGGAACATGAGCAGTATGTCTCTTTGTAAGTAGAGGCCAAAGGATACTTTTTTTATTGTTGTTAATCCTCACCCCAGGATATTTTCCACTGATTTTTATTTTATTTTTTTAGAGAGAGTGAAAGGGAGGGGGAGGGACAGAGAGAGAGAAACATTGATGTAAGAGAGACACATTGATTGGTTGCCTCCTGCACAAGCTCCAACCGTGGCAGGGGATCGAGCCTGCAACCGAGGTACATGGCCTTGACCAAAATCGAACCCGAGACCCTTCAGTCCGCAGGCCAACGCTCTCCCCACGGAGCCACACCAAAAAGGGCCAAAAGGATACTTTTGCAGGGAGAGTTGGGCTCTCCCCAGGGTATGGAATAGCTCAACGGAACACCTGAAAACAGCCGTGTCGTCATCACAGGAAGGCACGATGGAGTTGGTGAGGATTTCTCTGGCTTTCTCTGCATGGTGTTTGGCCTGCAGGGACGTTCCTGGGGACAAAGAAGAGGAAGTCTCACTTTCTCTATCATCTCAGTGGGCAAGAATATCGTCAGTCACTTACGGTGAGGGAATCCAATGAGGTCTCCTTGACCTACTTACTGTCAAGGGGAGAGGTACTGGGGCAGCAGGAAATACTGCCATGACTGAAGCAACCAAAGTGTTTTATACTTAGTACAGAAGATGAAATTTCCACACATACCCCCCTTGTAGTCAAGATAAGATCATTTCTCCCCGAAAATGGTCTTCTTATTTATCTATTTTTCTAAAATATGTTTTTATTGATTTCAGAGAGAAAGGGAGAGGCAGAGAGAGAAAGAAACATCAATGATGAGAGAGAATCATGGATCGGCTGCCTCTTACACGCCCCACATTGGGGATCGAGCCTGCAACCCGGGCGTGTGCCCTGGACCGGGAATCAAACTGTGACCTCCTGGTTCATAGGTCAATGCTCAACCACTGAGCCATGCCAGCTGGGCCCAAGAACCCCACTTTTAAGACCCTCAAAAACAAAACTCCAAGGGCGCAAATCTTCCTGCTCTTTTTTTATACGTTATATATTAAAAAATCTTATTGACTCTTTGTGAAGGGAGATGGCTTCCCCATGTGTGCAGAGGAGAATGATCAGGGTAGTTTAATCCTTGCGGTTACATGTTAGTCCAATTTGGGGGGAAAGCAGAATCCAACCAACTGAGCCTCCTGGGTCTGAGCTGAGCTCACCTTTCAGCTGGAGGTAGCCTTGAGCCAGATTAACATACGCCTCTGCTAGTTTCCAATGGCAGCTGCCATAGCAGATTCTGGTCAACGCTACGCAGCGGACGAGCTCCTGGATCGCCTGCTTATACTGTAAGGAAAAGAAAACAGGCTTACTATTAAAAAAATTTTTTTTAAATATATTTTTATGGATTTCAGAGAGGAAAGAAGAGGGAGAGAGAGATAGAAACATCAATCTGTAATAATAAAAGCGTGATATGCTAATTAGACCAGACAGCCCAACGACCTTCCGGATGTCCTTCCGGACGACCTTCTGATGAAGCCAGGGCTGCAAGGGCTGAGCCCCTTGCACAGATTTCGTGCATCGGGCCTCTAGTAAGAGATAATCATCAGTCGGCTGCCTCCTGCGCGCCCCCTGCTGGGGATTGAGCCCGCTACCGGGGCATGTGCCCTGACGGGGAATCAAATAGTGACCTTCTGGCTCATAGGTTGACGTTCAACTACTGAGCCACACGGGCCAGGGCAGAATCTCCTTCTTTTTATGGCTGAATGATATTCCATTGTGCATGTACATACATACACATTTTCTTGGGAACGTCACCTAAGCCATTGCCCTTCTCAATGGCCCGGGCACAGGGATGGAGAAGGAAGGCTCCTCACCTCGTGCCGGCTGGAGTAGGACTTTGCTTTCTGTTCGCAGAGCTGGAGTTGCTCTCGCGGAGGCTGGAAGAGGACCGAATGAGGCAGCCTGCTGGCGAACTTCTTTCTCGGCGTGACGCTGACAGCAGCCACAATTTCGTCTAAGTACTTGGATATGTGGGTTTCCTGTGATTCTTGCATAGTTTTATAGGCATTATCCTCTGGTTTTTAAATAAAAAAAAAAAAGAGAGGTGTTAGGTGATCTTTTTCATATCGACTTTTTCCCTAGAAACTGAGGGTGGGCTCCAGGAAGATTTCAACACTATATTCAGGACTTCTTTGAAAACAGGAGCATTCTCGCCCAGCCTGCATGGCTCAGTGGTTAAGCGTCGACCTGTGAACCAGGTCAGGGCTGGATTCCCGATCAGGGTCCCCGCCAGGGCTTCGGACTCCATCCCCAGGTGTGGGGCGTGCAAGAGGCAGCTGATCCATGATTCCCTCTCATCATTGATGTTCCTCTCTCTCTCTTCCCCTCTGAAAGCAATAAAAATGTATTAAAAAATAAAATAAAAAAGAAAGTGGCCACGTTACCAAACAAGGTATTTAAAATATTCGTGTGTTTTTTTTTAAAGTTCCCTAACAATGCTTGGATTTTTCTTTCTTTCTTTTTTTTTGAACACAAAGCTCTCTTCCTTTGCTGTCTTTATTTCCTGATACAGACATTGAAGGAATATTTATGCACAGCCTATTCAGCCACGCTAGGAACCGCCTCAATATTTAAATGACTAAGCTGTCACTGTCTTTTCTAGCAACAGGTGTTTCAGAGACCAGGTCACCGCCTCCTCTCTGGCAGGAACCTATCAGCGCGCACCGCCGGGCCCTTAAAACCCGGCGCCCAGGCTCACGGCTTGCTCCCTAACCTTGGCCATGGTGCCGAAACCCACCCGGCCTCCGTTTTTCACCCGTCAAAGGGGTAGAATCATGGTACCTGTGCCATGGGATTGCTGTGAGGGTTAAAAGAGGTAAGCTATGCGCAGCTCTTAGCACGCCGCCTGGAACCCAACAAGCGCCCGGCATCAATTATTGTTGTAATCCCTCAACCTATACATTCAATGCGTGCACGGATGCCTGAATGGATGCACGAACTAGAGCGCAGAGTAGTTACCGGCGGCCTCTGAGGTTGGAGCCGGACAAATCACACCCTCACCCGGCAAAAGCAAAAAGCTACTCTTTCCTGACCGCAAGACCGGAGCCGGAGCCGGAGCCGGAAGCGAGGGCCGGAGGTGGGCGGGGCCAGTATGGCCGGAAGCGCTGCTCTCGACCAATGGCCACATGGCTTGGAAAACGAGCGTCTCGTCCTACCTATCGTGAGACCGCGAGAATAGGGGGCAATTATCGCGATATTCCGTCCTCCTGCGCCATTCCCGCTTTCCCAGCTCTCGGTAGGTAGGGCCCCGCCCCGCCCCTCACCGCCTGGCCCCGCCCCCTTCCCGGCGCCCCGCCCCGCCCGGCGCCCCACGGTTGCCGTCCCAGTTCAGCCTGCGCCCCGGAGCGCTCTCTCCGCCGGCGCCCAGGTGAGTGTGGCGCCCCCGAGTCTCAGGTGACGGGAGCGGCGAGGCCCTCTGTCCCCGCCTCCGCCTCCGCCTCGCAGGCTGGGTCCGGCGACAGCGTCCGGGCCGCGGGGGGTGGGTCTCGGGGCGAGCGGGCCGGGCCGGGCCCTCCTCGTCCCTGGGGGCCCGGGGACTGGACCCGCGAAGCACCTGTCTGCACCTGGGACTTGATCGGGGCGTCGGAGGAAATGACCTTTGACAGATGCTTTTCAGGTGCCGTTTTCTACGCTGCAATGTCCCGTGTTGGGGCGTCGGAGTGGCATTTCCGAAGGAAGTAACGAAGTCAGTCCTTGAAGGCACCCTGCCTTCAATGGGCGAAATATTCTTAAAATGGGAGGTTTTGTTTCTTTAAGAAAAAACAAAAAACAAAAACACACGAACGTGGGGTGGTGGTTACCTGTCAAGAAAACTCGTGTGGAGGTGCAGTTGTATGCGGTGAATGCTGAGGCTGTCGCTTCCTTTTTATTTTATTTTTATTTGCTATACCAGTCTCTCTCTCTCTCTCTTTTTTTAATAAATATTTATTGGTGAAAGTATTACTTATGCCCCTTGTCGTTTGCTTTTAACTGTCGGTAAGAGGTAGTGAAGGGACTTTGCGTAAGAAAAAAATACCCAGGTAAAGTAGGTATGTGGCCGAGGAATGCACATTGGAAAACTATTTGCATTATTATTTTTTTAATTTTAATTTAAGTTTTTATTATTATTTTTTAAAATATATTTTATTGATTTTTTTTTTTTTTTTACAGAGAGGAAGGGAGAGGGAGAGGGAGAGGGATAGCGAGTTAGAAACATGGATGAGAAACATCGATTCAGCTGCCTCCTGCACGCCCCCTACTGGGGATGTGCCCGCAACCCAGGTACATGCCCTTGACCGGAATCGAACCTGGGATCCTTGAGTCCGAAGGCCGATGCTCTATCCGCTGAGCCAAACCAGCTAGGGCAAGTTTTTATTTTTATATGTATTTTATTGATGTCAGAGAGGAAGGGAGAGAGAGAAACATCCATGATGAGAGAGAATCAGGGATCGGCTGCCTCCTGCGCGCCTCCTACTGGGGATGGAGCCCGCAACCCAGGCCTTTGCCCTTGACCGGGAATTGAACCCTGACCCCCTGGTTCATAGGTCAAAGCTCAACCACTGAGCCTCCACAGCCGGGCTGATGTAGCTATATTCTATATACATATTTAAATATTCTTGAAATACCTTAAGCTAGGTACAAAAATGAGGATTTGCCGTATCCGATTTTTTTAAAATATATTTTTATTGATTTTTTACAGAGAGGAAGGGAGAGGGATAGAGAGTTAGAAACATCGATGAGAGAGAAACATCGATCAGCTGCCTCCTGCACACCCCCTACTGGGGATGGAGCCCGCAACCGAGGTACATGCCCTTGACCCGAATCGAACCCGGGACCCTTCAGTCCGCAGGCTGATGCTGTATCCACTGAACCACACCGGCCAGGGCTGTATCCGATTTTTAACTTGTTTCTTTGGTTGCCCGTTGTGAAACCAGTCTCTGGTTGTCTTAGGGATTCCGATCTCAATTTCAAGACTGTGTGTGTGTTTTTCAATTAGGACTATTTCTACTGAGTAATAAATATTTCCTAAATAGGGAATGTATTTTTATGAAATGGTTATTAATTTAATCTTCTCAACACGCATGACAAATTTAGTTGTTATGAGAGCAAAATATGGGGATTCAATGCATAACTCTCTTTTTTAGTATCTGCAGTGGCTGCATGTGCTTAACTGGCTTGCCTGGCAGTGCTGTCAGCGGTATTATAATCATTCACTGGTCCTTCTCCTCCTCAGAGATGGACCGATTCTGACAGGATGTAGTGCTGCCGCGTGCCTGATGGGATCTGCTCAGCCATGGCGTCCGAGCTCGGCAAGACCATCTCGGTGGCAAGGCTGGAGAAACACAAGAACTTGTTCTTAAACTACAGGAATCTCGACCACTTCCCGCTGGAGTTACTCAAAGGCGAAGGGCTCCAGTTCCTGGAGAGACTCTATATGAAAAGGAACTCGCTGACCACCTTGGTACAGTATTCTATTGCGTTCTTTTAAATAAAATAAAATCCTTTAGAACGTGGTCCTGACCAAGTTACACTTTCCATGTCTTAAGACAGACTGACATGGGTGTCCTCTCTTATTGTGTGAACAGGTGCTATAAATCCACATCCAGAGGGTCCTCGTGAGCTGAGAATGTGTTACTCAAGACCCCGCAGTTGTGTGGTCACAGGAGGAGCCTTGTAGGAAAGCAAAATATTCGCAAATGTTCCACTTACCAAACTGCCCCCATTCAAAACCCCTCTTTGCTTAGCCTGTGCCTGTGTCTTGGCCTGTGCCTTTTTTGTGTGCTTTAAGCTTCCTAGATGATCTTTTGGATGTTACAATATTGAATGGACCAATTAAAATGTAAAGAAGAGTCCAGCTGGTGTGGGTCAGTGGCCGAGCCTCCACCTAGGAACCAGGAGGTCACAGTTTGATTCCCCATCAGGGCACATGCCGGGGTTGTGGGCTCGATCCCCAGTAGGGGTGGTTGTGGGCTCGATCCCCAGTAGGGGTCGTGCAGGAGGCAGCCGATCCATGATTCTCGTCATTGATGTTTCTCTCTCTCCCCCTCTCCCTTCCTCTCTCTAAAATCAATAAAAATATATTTTTAAAAAAAGTAAAGCAGAGAAAGACCAGCAAGAATGACTTTTAAAAAAGAATGATTTGAAGATTAAAATATTAAGATGGGCGTTTGGGAAGCCTGATGTAGCCCTGTGAGTGTTTTGAAAAAACAAAACACCTTTTTTATGATTGCACTGTGACAGTCAAATGATTTTGAATCCGGCTATCATCCCATTTGTCAGAAAAAGTTTTGCCCCAAAAGCAACATCTGATTCACTCTTTGTATGTTCTAGGAATAAGCACATAGTTATCATTATAACCTAAATTTTATGACATAGAAGATTTTAGAAAACTATTTGTAATTATTTTCAAGAGAATGTTCAAATCAGATTTTTCATTCTCACTATTAAGAAATTTGGTCTGCTTTTAAATGGATTTGCTTTATGTGAATTCAAGTTCTTATTCATTTTAGATCATTTATGGTGTCTTTTTTTTGTGTGTAAATTGATCCATTCTTCATTCCCTTCTCTGTATTGGACTTTGCTAAATATCTGAACGTATATCTTATTGGCTTCATATAATGGACTGTTTTCCTATAAAAGTTTTCTTGATCTATATAAAATACCTACAAGGAGCAGAAAGCATTATAAAATTTGCTTGTATTTGCTGTTTCTGGAAGTAAATCGATATGTGTCTTTCATTTATAGCGGTTAGCATATTGGTATGTATGTTATTTTGAGGGCATAGTTAGATTTTTAAAATAGATTTTTTTTAGTATAAATCCTATGGATCAAGATAAACTAGTCTGTGTGGCATCCATAATCCAGCATCAGAGTTTAGCAACCCAAAGCATAACTACAGTTTTTTACATTGATTTTCAGGGAGAGGAAGAGTGAGAGAGAAAGAGACAGAGAGAGAGGGAGAGAGAAAAGAGAGAAACATGGATTTGTTGCCTCCTGCATGCGCCCTGACTGGGACTCGAACCCGCCCACCACCCTTTGCTTTTCTAGTTATCAATTTATAGTTATCAAGTCTCTGACTTTATGTAAACCCTATGGAAACGTAAGAATGAAAATGTATAACTTGCCCCTCATTCCTTGGCTATATCACTAACATGTGCCAGTAGGAATCAGAGAACGGTATCGTAGGACACCAGTAGGTGTCAGCCACAGCCTAGGCAACAGTCTGCTTGCTTACCAGGCTTTTGGGGCGGGGTCTAATAAGTGGAGTTTTCCCCCCAAATCCCAGTGTTGTAATAAATTGCAATTTTCCAAGGTCACCGTGCTTATTTATTTATTTTAAATATATTTTATTGATTTTTTACAGAGAGGAAGGGAGAGAGATAGAGAGTTAGAAACATCGATGAGAGAGACATCGATCAGCTGCCTCCTGCACATCTCCCACTGGGGATGTGCCCGCAACCCAGGTACATGCCCTTGACCGGAATCGAACCTGGGACCTTTCAGTCCGCAGGCCGACGCTCTACCCCCTGAGCCAAACCGGTTTCGGCACCGTGCTTATTTAAAGATAAAAGCCCAACGTACTTATTTGTTAATAAAGACACAGCAATGCACAGTTGGCAGCAGAAACTTTATTCATTACTCAGTTGTGTGTGTAGCTTTGTGACTCAAAATAAAACAACAACAACCCGCCTAGCTTGTCAGGAAAGATTAGAATGGATGTGCAGGAGCCGTCCTGTGAGTTAGCCAGGTAAGATGTTGCTATTACAGCAGGCAGACCTAGATGAGAGTCAACATTGCCTGCTTTCTGGACAAGTTCTCTAGTTTTTCTAGGATATTTTGTTGGGGTGCCAATACATGGAGGTGTATATCCTTCCTCTTCTTAGGGAAGATAACGGTGCGAATAGAAACATTTTGGGGGTTGGGACAGCCCCAGGAGTACCACCGGAGAAAAGACTTGTCGTGAAGGGCCTCATGGCAGACAGTGACAGCAGAACCTGAGGGACAGAATCACAGCTCTTGGCATTTGGAAGCTAAAGGTGGTTTTATCAAGAGCGGGTTCTCGGTAAATGCTTCACTGACTTCGGAACCATGTTCACATGCACTGCTGTTGGGTCATCATAAAGGGCGAGGATGGATGGGAAGCAGCTTGGGATGCTGTGTTAAGTATTTGAATAGATCAGAATCCCAGTGTGACATTAACAATGTCACTTCCTTTTTTTGTGGCGGTGGCTGCTAATCTCTCACCCGAGAACATTTTTTCCATTGATTTTTTTTTAGAGAGAGTGGAAGGGGTGGAGGGCGGGGGAGAGAGAGGGAGAGAAACATCGATGTGAGAGAGATACATCGACGCCCACGTGCGCCCTGCTCAGGGCCCTCGAAAAGATAATGGTTTGTACTTAAGCTATTTAGAGATGTTTACACATTTTTCAAAAATAAAATTTAATTCTGAGTTTTTCATTTTCAGCCAGAAAACCTTGCTCAGAAGCTTCCAAACCTGGTGGAACTGTGAGTATCTTTATTCAATTCTTTTTAAAAAACAGGGATCAAAATAATTTTAAGTTGTTTGAAATAGTAGGAAATATAATGTTCATGTATTAATTTATTTTTTAGTATCATGAGCATGATAGACCTCTGGTTCCGCTAAGCCCAAAAGTCTTTTAAAGTATTTTAACCGTTTAAATTTGTGTTTTCAATATCTCACTTCAAGGTGGTGAAGATGCTGAAAAGTTCAATTTTTCTGGTTGCAGCATCTTTGTCACAGAATCATTCCGGATAGTCCATGTAACTGGCAACATTTATTGTTACCACTATTCCATGTGATACTTGATACAAACAGTGAAACACTATAAAAGATTTAAAATGTCTTAAAAGCCTCCTTACCTGCATCCTCCATGCTTTGTTTTATTTATTTTTTAAAAACATGTTTTTATTGATTTTGAGAGAGAGAAGAAGGGAGATGGATAGAGCGATAGAAATGAGAGAGAAAAATCATCAAGCGGCTGCCTCCTGCACGCCCCCCACTGGGGATGGAGCCCACAACCCGGGCATGTGCCCTGACCAAGAATCGAACTGGTGCCCTCTTGGTTCATAGATTGATGCTCAACCACTGAACCACACCGGCCGGGCCCACTATACCTTTCAACCAGTTTCTCCCATTCTTAACATCTCCCAATTCCATGGTACATGTGTCAGAACAAAAAAACTGACATTGGCATGTTACTGTTAAGTAAAGTCTATACTTAATTTCTATTTAAAAAAACACACCCTGCCACACCATTTCCCAAAGTGGCTGTGCTAGCTTGCGCTCCCACCAGCAATGAATGGGAGCTCCTGTGTTAGGAACATGATGAACACTTAGTCACATCGAAAACACCATTTCAACTTCTCTGGGCTTTAAGCTGCTAAGCTTATGATTACAAATGACTCACGATATAATCATAATTCTCACAACAATAACAATAGCATTCATTGAACTCCATTCAGAGAGCGTTGCATATGTTGATTCATTTATTTCTTACAACGTCTCTATGTTCTAATTGGTGCTATTACCATCTGCTTCTATAGACAGAATGCAAGAGGTTAAGTCATTCTGATCACATGGCTCTAAAGGCGAAGAGCCTGCTCTCTGATCCACTCTAACAGCAATGATTCTTTTTTTTTTTTTAATATATTTTTATTGATTTCAGAAAGTAAGGAAAAGAGAGAGAGAAAAACATCAATGATGCGGGCTGGATCCCCAGTAGGGGGTGTGTAGGAGGCAACCGATCAGTGTTTCTCTCTCATCATTGATATTTCTAGCTCTCTCTCCCTCCTCCTTCCTCTCTGAAATCAGTACAAATAAATTTTTAAGAAAAAATAAAATGTGGAATCATTTTATGTACACAAAACAAGGAACATGGACTCGTGTAATTACTATTTAAATTGTGTTAGACCCAGCAGGTTAATACCTACTTCAAAATTAATTTAGTCCAGCATAGAATAATCTTCTTAAGTTTATTTTCTATCTTTCTTATTCTGTGTCACACTTGATATTAGACTTTAAAATGGAGAAGAGTATTTTGAAATTCTATTTTTAAAGATTTTATGAAGATTGGATAGTGGGGTACAATAAATAAAAGGATAGGTTTGAAAATAAAGTTTCCAAAAGTCTAGTTTTCTTGTCTCAAAATCAATGCTATAAATTTATTTTAAAAATTATTACTGTATGATCTCCAGTGGTCCTTATTGTTTTATTCTGATGTTAGTGGGCTGCTTCTGATTGTATAAAATCTCCACCAGAGGGTGCTGCAGGCACTTCGCCTGGATTTGTCAGCCTTGAACTTTTTTTCTTTTTTATGAAAAGAATTTGATCCTTGTTTATGAAATTCATTTTGCTATAAAATAAATTCTGTGCCTTGACAGTTACGTATTTCTACAGATACTACAAGTGATGAGTATTTAATCTCTCCAGAATTCTTGGTTATCAGTAAGCATGCTTGCTGACTGGAAATATCTCTGGTTTGATTATTTCGTGAAGTTATCCTTTAGAAACGAAAAGTTGCATTTTCCTGTACACATAAGTGCTGACTTTTCTTCACACCATAACTGTATCTCTGAAAACCTGAATAGTTTAAAACAAAGTAGGAAACTAGTTTGTTTTATGAGGTTGAAAAAATACCTCTAGTTTTTCTTTTGTGTATATTTTAAAATAGCGCTTAAAGCCCTAGATGGTTGGCTCAGTGGATAGAGCGTCAGCCTGGGGACCAAAGGGTCCTGGGTTCGATTCCAGTCAAGGACTCATGCAGGAGTCAACCAATCAATATGTTTCTCTCACATCGATATTTCTCTGTCTTTCCCTCTCTCTTCCACTGTCTCTAAAAATCAATGGAAAAATATCCTCGGGGGAGGATTAAAAAAAAAGATAAAAATCCTGCTTATTACAGAAAATGTCAAAAATACAAAAAAAGCCCAAAAAGAAAATAAAAATACATATTAAAAACAAAAAATAAAACAAAATAGCAATTAAATCAATAAATAGTTTTAATATTTGCAATCCCAGCATGAAATATTTCAAAGTATTATTAGTTATCTATGATGATCATATATTTTGTGTTATGTACTTAGAATAGGGCGTTAAAGAAAGTTTGGTCCCTTTATATTTGATATATTTCTAAGTGAGCATTTTACAAACCCATTCTGTAGCAGAAGTTCTGAATAACAACAGCTTTTTCTTTTTTTTTGTTATTTTCCCCAGGTACCTTCATTCAAATAACATAGTTGTGATTCCAGAAGGTGAGTAAGCGCACTTCTAACTTTTAGTTAGGAGAGACTATAGTTTAAGCTTTCCTTTCTAATAGTAGAACAGATAGTGTCTTTAAACCTAGTGTGGTTGGTATATTAGTGAGTTTTAATTATAAACCATCTTTAATTTATTTGTTTCACAGACTCTTCCCCCAATTAGTCAATCCAGTTAAGAATTATGACTCAATGACATTAATAGAGTCCAAAATGGTTATAATGATTAGATAAATTATCTTTAGATATATTGTGGTTGGGTAAATAACAAAATAATAAGTTCTAAATTCAGTAAATCCAGTTAAGAATTTCGGTTAGACTGAAAATATCCTTCTATATTGTTTCATGAATTTATTTTTTTATTCAAGTAATATTTTGCATTGTTTTAAAAATGTTGATTTGTGCTTTTTTAAAGTCATTTTATATAGAGGTAGACGTCTTATCACCTCCATAAAATTTAGTATGATTTTATTATTTTGGGAACAACTCGAGTAGTACATTGTGAGATGGTGATACTAAGTATGCAAATATTTCAACTTGGAGTTCTTGCATTAGAGATCTGGCATAACGCTTGGGTCCAATTGATTTTGCCTTTCCCCTCCTTTTCTCTTTGAAGCCATTGGATCCCTTATAAAACTCCAGTGTTTGGATCTTAGCGACAATGCCTTAGAAATCGTTTGCCCAGAAATTGGTCGTCTGAGAGCTTTGCGTCATCTTCGATTAGCTAATAACCAACTGCAATTCCTACCTCCAGGTAATCGTAGTCGGGGGCACACGGTCTCTTTTCTCTTACAAGTCTGTTTTCATTCATGTTTCTCACTGTGTCTAGGCAGTGGGCTTTGGAAAGATTTGTAAGTATTTGATTGTCCATTTGTTTGACTATGAAGCTAAGAAATGTGGGGGGGAAATGTGACAGTTCCCAGATGCAAACATAAGAAGGAGGCATTTATGTTTTTGAGCTACACTTACCACAATTGAGCATTAGTCTTCAGATCACTGCTCTGGTGAAATATTTGTACAAAAAGCTACTTCACTTCTGAAGTTCAGCTCTGAATTTCACATCAGGGAATTTAGGGGAAATTTGCACGGTGTGATCATTTTAGTATCAAAAAGGCAGATATATAGTGTTTTCTCTCATTCTCTAGTGAGATAACGGATGTACATTAATAAGATATGATTTAATAAGAAGCCATACAAGAATTTAGCAGCACCATTTAAGTTTGATCTTAGGCTTAATGGTCAGTTTTGCCTACTGAACATTCTATTAGATTGTGACGTACCTATAGACCAGGGGCGGGGAACCTTTTTTCTGCCAACCCATGTGGGTATTTATAACATCCTTCGCAGGCCATATACAATTATCAACTTAAAAATTAGCTTGCTATACTTGGTCATAATATTTCTTTATGATTTAAGGAATACTATCTCCAGAGTTATGCAAGTACAGAAATTTCTGGATGAATACACAATACATGATTAGTTTTGAGACTTGATGTGCTGGCCTTCACATAAAAGTTCAATATTGCTTATAAAAATGATACTGGTTGCCCTGGCCGGCTTGGCTCAGTGGATAGAGTGTCGGCCTGTGGACTGAAAGGTCCCAGGTTCAATTCCAGTCAAGGGCATGTACCTTGGTTGCAGGCACATCCCCAGTAGGGGGTGTGCAAGAGGCAGCTGATCGATGTTTCTCTCTCATCGATGTTTCTAACTCTCTATCCCTCTCCCTTCCTCTCTGTAAAAAATCAATAAAATACATTTTTAAAAAAAATGATACTGGTATAGCAGTCAGTTTAAAAAATAATTTCTTAACCTCATATAATGTCTTTTCAAAACTTTCTATTCAAAATACATTGCTATTACTGCATATAATTTACTCAAAACATGCAAACTATAATTACTATAAGAATTTTCAATATAGTATAGGAATATGGTCTTTCCTTTAGATTTTATCATCGGTAATAAGGCTCAGGGTGTTTCATCGTTCTACCTTTGTCAGGTTCACATATCCAGATATTCAGGAAATTGGATTCTCTTTTGGAGATTACCTCAAAAATGTATCATTAAAATGATACTTTAAATTTTCCTGTATGGGACTTAGAAAGATATATTGTAGAATCAAAATGCATGGATGGATAGAACACTGTTTGTAAGCCCTTTTGATGTATGTTTAAGTAACACGAGACTAGAATTCCCTGTTAAGCCATTGTTCTTTGTATTCTATTATTCTCTTTTCCTGTAACGTAAGACGTTTTGCGGTAGAATGTGGCCATTTCCTTCCATTATATACTCTCGGAGGTTAAGGATGTACGGCCGATAGCATTGACTGCTTCCTACTCACCAGAGAAGGACATAGGTTTCCTGACGCCTTTCATGTAATTTTTTATTTATATCACACCTGTTGCTTAAAAGATTGGAGGTATTTATCCCTGATTTCATCTCCTTAGCTTATTTCTGTTGTCTGTGTTTGTGTTTGCTTGTTTTGAGTAAAATTATATGCGGCAATAGCAATGTATTCTGAGCCATGTATAGACTTTCTTTTTTCTTTCTGGAGTTTAATGAATAGCAATGGACTAGGTCTTGTTATCTGATTCACTTTATATCTCTGTTTATGAGGTAATTGCAGTGCTATAATTTGAATGCGTGAGGGGCTAGGGACACCTCTGCAAATGTTTGATTATGTTTGGGCACATACTACGGAAATGTATTTTAATTATAGTTTTTAAAAATGGGAGGATGCCATGTTGTCTCCATTTGATGACAATAGACATGTGGCTATGGGATTGATCTCCCTTCTACCTAGTTCATGCTAGTACATGTAGACTTCCTTTTTTAAAAAAATACATTTTTATTTATTTCAGAGAGGAAGGGAGAATGAGAGAGAGAGAGAGACATCGGTAATGAGAGAGAATCATTGATTGGCTGCTTCCTGCACGCTCCACACTGGGGATGGAGCCTGCAACGCAGGCATGTGCCGTGACTGGGTATTGAACCGTGACCTCATGGTTCATAGGGCGACGCTCAACCACTAAGCCATGCTGGCCGGACCGTGTAGACTTCTTACTCGTTATATTCCCTTGAAAGACTTAACGTTTTACTATGTGTATTTGTTGTGGTTGAATACGCTTTGAATATAAGATCGTAATCAATATTCATAACTTTAGAGCATATTTGAAATATCTACTGGATATAGAGAGTTTTAAGATTAGGATCTCAAAATGCATTACGAGGGTTTCATGAGCGCCCTCAATGGTATGCATTTTGCAGAAGAGTATACAACTTGTAATTAGTAATTGTGACATGTGCTCAGAGCCTTCATAAGAAAAGTGAAGACCCAAAGAGCATTCGGAGCCAAATACTACATGTTGGATTAGACAGAGAGTAGTCCATTGTGAAAACTTGGTAGGGCAGAGAGGCTTGGGCTAGGACAGTGCATTGTGGGAAAATGACCGGGAAGATCAAGGTCAGCGTAACAAGGTCTGTTTGTACCGATTTCCCTTGGCCTTGAGTCCCCGTTTCTGGAAATAAGAACGTCTCCTGGTACAGGGAGTGCACCTTTTGCACGGGGCTTTCCAGACCCCAAGGGCAGAGCCAGGCCGCTCAGGGCGTCCCTGAGGGCCAACCCCAGGCCCAGAGAGCGGAGCCCTGGTCCACAGGCCCTTGTCCTCTGTTAAGGATGCTTTACCTCATTTGATTACTTAAAGGAGTAGAGGGGTCGGCTCGACTCTACTGGGCGAGGCTCAGGCCTACTGGGGATGGAGCCCGCAACCCGGGCATGTGCCCTGACTGGGATTCAGACCATGACCTGGTTCATAGGTTGCTGCTCAACCACTGAGCCACACCCACTGGGCATGATGATGCTTTAAAAAAAAAAAAAAGCAAAAGGAGAAAAGTTAGTCCTTCAGACTTGGAAATCCTCTCCTATCACTCATACCACTGATGAAGGCCTGGACTGTTCCTCTGTTGAAAAGATTGAAAAGCAGCTAACATCATAACAGCAGAGATCCAATTTGAAATCTTAAGGGATGATCGTCCAAGTTCGCCTCACACGCAGTGCCTTTTCTCTTTCCTTTCTGCATATAATTAATTTTCTTCACCATGATCTATTAGAGGCGTGGTGCTCTATGGGAACCATCGAGTACTGTCCGGCCAGTGTTGCTCAGTGATTAAGCATCAACCTATGAACCAGGAGGTCACGGTTCAATTTCTCGGTCAGGGCACATGCCTGGGTTGCATGTTTTTAAGACACAGCCTATTATTGACAATTCAGAAATTTAATTTTATTTTTGGATCTAAATCAACTTGCAGTATTTTAGAGGTGTTGTTTTATGACATCAGAAAATTCTAGCTTCATGTCAAACTATATAATTGTGAAGAAAAATGAACAGGTAGGCTATAGGGTATGTGCTGAAATAAGTATTAGTTTAAAAGTGTCTTCAATATGTAAAAAAGTTATTTTTTTTAATGTGTTATTGGGAACATGCTTGGTTCTTACTTCATCTATAAATTATGGTTTAATCTGTTAAAGGTTTTAATTTAAATCAGATTATCTATTCTGCAAGTAATTTGGAAGTTAATGACTGTTTTAGTGAATGAAAAGCTGTATGATTTGCCAAGGGTTGATGTAATAGAAGTAATTAAAGAAAATTTAGTTTGATATGGGTTGTTACCAAGTTCTCCGCCACACTCCACACATAATTGACATCACAGTTCTTTGTTTAATACTTTTTATTATCCCTTTTAAAAAATTAACATTATGTAATATACACAATATGTAAACCCTCATGCCCTGTTATGTCATGCCTTTTAGAAACAGAAAGCAGATTTCCAAGGCTGTCATTATGCCCTTCATAAAATCAAAGCCATCAGAATTACCATAAACTCTGATGTTGGATGTTAGTGGTAGAAGGACTATACAACCCATCAAGTTAAAATTTAGCTACCACATTGGATAAGCAAATGGAGGCCTAGGGACCAAGGGACATTAATTTTATAGGCTTTTGCTTTATTGAACATTCACAATTCTTAAAGCTCCATGGAATTCTCAGTGTGGGAAACTTAAATATCTATCATTTGAAGAGCAGAAATTTTAAAAATTGAGGAAGCCCAATTTATCTGGGGTTTTTGTTGTTGTTGTTGTTGTTTTTTATTTGCTGGAGTATGCTATTGACATCACATTTAAGAACTATTCACCAAATCTAGGGTCACAAAAATTTTTTAAGTTAATTATTGTATGTGATGTGAAGAAACGGTTCAGATATTTTTAGATAGGGGATATTCAGTTTTTCCAGTACAATCTGTTGAAAGACTATTTTTTCTTTGTTGAAATCAGTTGACTGACCATGAACATATGGGTTTATTTCAAATGTTCTGTTCCCATTAGTCTTTATGTCTGTCCTTATGGCAATACCATATTGGCTCGATTACTGTAGCTTTATAGGCAGTTTTGAAGTGAGCTTGTGTAATTCCTTCAACTTTGTTCTTTTCCAAATTTCTTTAGAAAAAAAGTCAAATTTCATTGATTTTTTTTTTTTTTACTACCAAAAAAAGTTTATTTTTCTTCCTTTTTGGGGATTCCAGCTGTGTATATATGTTTATGCATATATGGTAGCAATAAGAAGGTAAAGATGGAATGGAGGACTTTGTATCAAAGTGATCCATGGAGATAATTATACTAACCAGTATAATTTCTAATCACTCAACCTAGTTCTTCTTTTTAAATATGTTTTTATTCATTTCACCCACATAAAAATATAG